GGGGGGGCGGGCAGGGGGCTCTAACTACCCTGGGGGCAAGTCTGCATCCTATGTACCTCATCTGCTATTTCTAATTCTTCCCACCACCTTCACAAGCCAGATGTCACCTTGCAGATGAGGAGCCCAAGGTTGCAGGAGGTTAAAGTCACCCCACCAATGAGTGGAGAAGCAGGGGTTCAAATATGGCTGGCAAAGCCTTAAACTCTTCTCAGACACCACACTCAGTCCATCTGGGGCTGGGCGCAGTCAGTTGGGGGGCGGCGAGGAGGATGGAGCCTGGAGAGGGAGGTTTCTGGGGCTGCCCCAGTGCCCCCCACCAGCTTCCTCTGTGCCTCAGAGCCTCCCAGCCAGCTCCTATTGGACCCCCAGTGGCCTGGTCCGTGGCAACTCCATGCTCACCAGTCCAGCCTGCCAGTCCCCCTGTCCCCTCCCCGTGTGAGGCCAGGACGGAGGAGGATGTTACTAATCAGGCAATCCCGTAGGGTCTTGCAGCCTGAGGCGCTTCTTCTGGTTGGTTTAATTTCTCTCGGTGTCTCTCATTTCCAGCTTCTATTTTAGTATTTTTCCCGAATCCCAACCAGCCTACCTATGCTTAATCTTATAGAGACCCCCAGCCATGAGTAGCCACCATGGGAGGGAGGGGGAGGTGGGAATAGATCCCTCCTGGATCTTTTGTTCTTTTGCTGGAATTCTTTTTTTTTTGATTATTCATTCATTCAGTGCCTCTGCCAATGTGCTGAACACTTTCTCTCCTGTACTGAATCTATTCCACACGACTTTATGGGGCAGGGATTACTTTGAACTCCATTTTACAGATGAGAAGGGCGAGAACTTAATTTCACCAAGGACACCAGCTTACAGTAAGTGGCAGAATGCAAGAGCTGAAGACAGATCTATCCACTCCCCTGCTCTATGGCAGGTGAGTAGCGGAAGGTGTGTCGGTAAGATGCTGAGGACAGAAAGCCACAGATCCCTATGGTCAGTGACCTTACGGAGGACCTCACAATATGCAATTTTTCTGCAGACATGGAAGGTACACAGGAGAGAAATGCCTCGCCCTACCCAGACCAGTTAAGTCAGTTTCTCGGGGTAGAGTCTGGGCGTTCATTTTTTTTTTTTTTTAAAGATTTTATTTATTTATTTGAGAAAGAGAGCAAGCTGGAGAGAGAGACAGAGAGAGCACAAGCAGGGGGAGCGGCAGGCAGAGGGAGAAGCAGGCTCCCTGCTGAGCAGAGAGCCCTGATGCAGCCCCAGGACCCTGGGATCATGACCTGAGCCGAAGGCAGATGCTTAACGACCGAGCCACCCTGGCGCCCCGTGGGCACTCATGATTTTAACAGATTTCCTAACCATGCCTGAGAATTTCCGATTTAGATTCAGAAGGAGGAGGAAAGGGGAGATGGCTTCCGAGGGCTTGAGAGCAAACCCTGGAGTGAAGGGAACAATCTGGGGAGTCAAAAGTCGTGGTGCAAAGCCCCTGCCCTCACCTGATAATGCATCAGCGTGTTCAGCCGCTTCCAGTCGCCCTCAATCTTGGTGGTGATGTCCTCGTCTTGCAGCACGACCCGGGCGATCCGGCCTTGCCGCCACTCTGGGTGGAGGGGGTGGCGTAGGTAGCAGTGTGAGTGGGCGGGGGGGAGGGGCTGGGAGTCAGGGTCACCCAGTCCTGCCTCCTCTAGCGACCTGGCAACCCCAGCTCCAAGCTGGTGCGACCCATAGTGCTTAGAGACGTCCAGGGCTCCATGGGGTCAAGAGAGCTGGGGAGAAGTGTGGGCAGGCAGTGTCCCAAGAGAAATACTTCCTGTGGTCCCTCACCTGGGCAGGACCTAGTCATGCCCCCAGGAGGGGCCTGGGCAGGAAGGGGCTTCCCATTTTCTCACCCCATCCCATCCCGTCGCCCAAATGCCCTCCCGGAAGCCACTTTTCAACCCCATGCCCCCCATACTCCAAGGCCAGGCCTCCTACCCAAGTCCATGTCAACGGCCCTCGGCCGCTGGGAGTAGGGCACGTTCTTGTAGACAGCATCGAGGATCTTCTCCTTGACCTGTGTGATGGTGTCACAGTTTAACACCTTCACTGGGATCTCTGGACTGTTCTCGTTGTCGGGGTTGACGCAGTTCAGGATCTACAAGTATGATAGAGGGGGAACAGGATGGGAGTTCGAGGGGCTGCTTGAGGGAGAGGGAGCAAGGCCTTGGAATCTCTCTTTCCAAGGCTTATCCTCCTCACAGGAGAAATGGCCGTGCCTCAGTTTCTCTTGCCTTCCTGCCATCTGCCAAATGACAACCTGAGTCATGCCTATGCTTCTCAAAGAACTGAGACTCCACTTTCTAGCCCCTGGTTGGCTTGGGGGAGACTGTAATCCTGGGACCAGGCATGCTGGGGGTTTAGAGATGGCTCCAGGTCTATCAAGGGCTGACCACCCACCTCCCAAAGCCTCTGTATTAGGAACTAGCAAATTCATCTTCTTCCCCATAATGCTAATTTCCCCATACCTAATGGAGGGCGCTCTGCCCCCAGCCATAGCAAGCATCTAGGGTAAACAGAGGCAGACAGAGCTCTTTGGGCCCACCCAATGAGACGGGGAGGGGGAACCCAGGCGTGTATGCCCTGCTCTTGGAACACTTAGCATAGCCTTTAGACTGGCTCCCATGCTGTTTCCCAGCCTCTTTGTTGACCACTCAGATTAGCTTTGTGTATGAAGCAAAGGCAGGAGGTCTGCCGAGTCCCCTGAGTTCCCCGCCTCCTCACCAGGGTCTTGTACTCGATCTGCTGCCGGATGAGCTTGTCTTCACTCAGAGAGTAGCGGGCCTCACCCGTGATGGCGTCGATGGGGCCCTTCTCCATCTGCTGCTTGATGGCGCAGTAGAGCATGAAGAGGGGCTCCCCCGCGCACTCCTGTGGGCACAGGCAGGGCACAAGGGGTGGGCTGGCACCTGTCTCCTCCTCTCCCTCTCCTGGCCAGGCTCCTAGGCCCGCCTTGCTTTGGAGCACCCCAGCCGGGCAGCTTCCTATTCCCAAGGCGTCCCCCCATGCAGCCCTGATGGCCAGGCTTGGGGCAGCAGTCCCTTGTCTTGCTCTCAACTCTTGGCCCCGGCTCGCTCCCACTCTCACCTTCAGGAACTTGTGCAGGAGGAAGGCAAACCAGTTGGTCAGCATCTTCTCAGCCACAGACTCTGTCCTGGGGAGGGAGAAGGGATGTGAGGGGCAGTCCTTTATGGAGGGGTCTCGGAGAGGGGGTCTGGCTTGTATGCATCGTGGCCCAAGAGAGCAACAGGGCATCAAAGGGCACAGAGCTGGGAGCCAGGACACCAGAGATGAAAGTGTGACCTTGGACCAGAGGCTTTTTCTTCCTGGGCCTCAATTCCTTGTGGAAATGGAGTGGTGCTCCGGGTCTGCAGATGAAGGCACCAAGTACCCCATTTCCACAGGGCTATCAATTTCTAGTTCTTCCTACTTCCTGCTGGCCTCAGGATGAGAAACAGAGTTTCTCTGTCCCTTTGGGATTCCCTGCATGCCTGAATACTCCATTTTCATACCCAGGAGGTCCCTGGTACGTGCCCCTCCACCTCTCAGAATCAGACTGCCTGAATTCCAATCCTGACTCTGCCACATACTGGCTGTGGGACCTTGGGCAGGTCATTTCACCTCTCTGGGTTCATTTTCCCCATCTCTAAATGGGGACAATGATAATAGTGTCTATCCCTCAGGGCTGTTGTCAGAATTGGATGAGTTAACATATATGTAGAGTGCTAAGAATAGCATCTGGCCCCCAGTAAGCACTATTCCGTAAGTATTGGCTGTCGTTCCTGCTGTCGTGTGGGGTCATGGATCCCAGCCGCTCAGGGGGAGAGCAGGGGACATGAGTGTTTAGCAGACAGGGGATCTGCTTCTGCAAACACCAGCCCTCCCCACCCCCTATCCTGGGCTGCAGATCTGGGGACTCAGGAACAAAGCCGCTGTGACAGACCCTCAGTGATGGGGATGCCGAGGGGTATTTTAACACCCCACACGTGGTGCAAATTATACCCTCCGGTTGCAGTAAATCCCAGGCATTTGCCAGGGCTGCTCAGCAGTCTGGGCCTGGGGGAGAGTGACAATGGGAGAAGAAATTGTAGCTTTGTCCCCTGGCCCCTCCCAGCACTCTCTTCTGCATTGTGCCTGAGATTAGCTCTAATTTAAATACAACAGTTCTTAATGAGAGTTTCTAATGCTCAGATTGGCAGGATGGGGGCTCAGTGCTCATGAAACAAAGACATTCTTCCTCCCTCTTCACCCCACGTGGGGTCTGGAAGCCTGAGACCTCAGCTAGGAGCAGGCTAAAGAGGGGGGCGGAGAAATGGAGGAGGCACATTCCAACCCCTGCTACCAGAGGAGGTCCAGAGCTCTGCTCGGCTCCCTGGGGCCTCCAGGGAGGGTGGGCTCGGGGAATGGATGCCAAGGTCTCCAGCCTCTCTCCTGCCAGGAAAAATGGCACCTGGGGAGGGGGCATGTGCTGGCTGCTGGTGATTCGGATCCTGGAAACTGGGCGCTGAAGGGATAGGCCACACCAAATCTCCAGCCCGCCATGAAGGAAATGTTCTCTAAGTGCACTGTCCAATATGGTGGCCAGCACGTGGTGACTGAGCCCTCGGCAGGCGGCTCGCACGACCAAGAACTGAACATTACGTTTTATCTCATTTTAGTTCATAGCCACAGGTGGCTACTGTGTTGGGCAGCTAGGCGCCAGAGGCCCCGGGAGGGAGGGAGGGAGGGAGCCCGGGAGACGGTGTTACCGCTGCCCTGGGGAAGCTGAGGAGCAGAGAGGCCACATCACAGGCCTGGGGGCACACCGCTAGCGGGTGGGTGGCCGAGCTGGGGCTCGAGCGAGCGGAGACCCGGGCTCCTCCATCAGGCTGAGCAGCGGCGGACACGGCCACCCGGGGCCCCGGGGAGCTCAGGCTCCGTGCTGCGAGGGGCCGCGCGTGGGCTCAGGCCATGGTGAGTGGGGTCGCGTCTGGGGGTGGGGAGCCTGTCGTGCTGCTCCAGCCAGGCCCTGCTGGCCAGCCCAGGACACCCGCCGCCCTCCCCGCCCCCGGCCGCGGGGCCGACCTCCGCAGCAGCAGCTTAGGGTGGTTCTTGTTCTCCAGGTTCTTCTCGATGAGGTCCGAGAGCAGCTGCTTGAGGACGTCGGTGGCGTACTCCAGGCGGCCCTGCAGGCCCGTCATGATGAGTGAGGCCACGTTGCCACGGTCGCGCATGGAGAAGCTGCGCTGGAGCTCTAGGGTGCGGATGAAGGTCAGCAGGAACACCTTGTTGTTGATGAGCTGGGCGAAGAGCTTCAGGGCCTTCTCCACGTGCTGCTGCCCATTCCCCTGTACCTGGGCATGGGCAGGAGGGGTGCGCCCTCAGAGGACAGCCTCCCGCCTCCCCGCCCGGGCTGGCACTGAGGGTCTTCTGGAGAGAGCAACAGGACTCTCTAACTGCCTGGCTACACCCCCGCCCCCCTAGGAATGGCTGGTCTCTGAAGTCTCTGGTCTGCTCCGCCCGTCCACTGGGTTGGGGGGTCTGGCTCCAGGCAGAGCCCTCTGAGGGGACACCATCCATCTGATTCTTCCAGGGATTCAGTAGGAGAGACTCCATTAGACTTGCTTGGTTTACCAGTCTCCCTTTAATCCTTTCTGCCCTGATTTATTATCTTTAGTAAAACAAACCAACACGTGAATAAACAAGCCTCCCAGAATCATATGTCCTTTCCGTAAGCCACCTTAGATCCATTTGAGAATATGGCAGGATCTTAGTTAATTAATTTAGTCATTAATTAAAAAATGACAATGAGCCTTCCCCTGGAATCATCCCAAAGAGACTGCATGCCCCCCTTGGCTATGATCTTCCTGTTGTGGTGACGCTGTTCCCAGCTGTTTCTCCTCATCCCTCCTGACCCTCCTCTGAGCTGCTGGGCCCCATCTGCATTTCCCCGGACACCCAGGCCCTGCGCTCGGCTGGCTGGTTTGGGGAGGGTGGCAGGCATTACCTCCAGCTCCCGCAGCACGGGATGGTCCTCGATGCCAGGGAACAGGACTCGCATAGCGTAGGTGCGGTAATCCAGGTAGGGGATTCCCGAGCGGTCCAGGTCACTGGTCAGCTCATTGATGTCTGTCTGGAGCTCAGCAAAAGCTATGCAAGTGCAGGGAGACAAGGAGGCTCAGGAGGGCACCCCACGCAGGGGAGGGGGAAGGCAGGAGAAGACGTTTGTGAAGGAGGGGCAGGCCTGGGGTGTAGAGACAGGGAGGGTTGTAGGGGCGCATCTCCAGAAGGGATGCGATCTCTCCAGGCCTCCTTTCGTAGGTGGTGGGCATGTGGTGATTTCTATGTTATTTCCTCTTCTATGCTGATGCATAATTTTGACATGTCTTTCTATGTATTGTAATGGTAGTTAAAACAAAGAAAACGGAAGAACACTGTGATTTGGGTCATGCATGGGCCTGCAGGTTCCGGAAACAGCTGAGAGGCAGTGGCCAAGGGGATGAAGTGAAGACAAGAACAGGTAGCTTTGCTCCCCTTTTTTTCCCAAGCAAGAGTATCAATCAAGATGCAAAAACCCTGGGCAAAAATGAACATGAAAACTACCATGAGATACCACTTCACACCCATTTAGGATGGCTATTATAGAAAAATGGAGGGGCGCCTTGGTGGCTCAGTTGATGAGGCACGGGACTCTTGGTTTCGGCCCAGATTATGATCTCAGGGTCCTGAGATTGAGCCCCGAGTTGGGCTCTGTGCTCAGCGGGGAGCCTGCTTGAGATTCTCTCTCCCTTTCCCTCTGCCCCCCCCATGTGCACACACACTCTCTCTCTAAAATAAATAAATAAATAAC